TTTTTTTCCCCCTTGGCTGTATTTTGGAATTAATTGACAAGTTATCATTATGGGTAAAGATGAAAATGCTATGTGCAAAGCAGTATCTGCAAAGGCACATCAAGGACAAGCTGTCCTGTAGAGGAGGGGCAAGCTGAGAGTTGCAGCAATGCTGGCAGGTTCCGTGACCTCACGGGCCAGGGAACAGTCCCACAGGCCCTCACCAAGAAGAGCAGAACAGGCCTGGTGACAGTAAGCGGGGCCAGCCAAGACTGCAGGTTGCCAGGCCAGTCCATAGGGACGGGCAGGTCTGCAGTCCAACCAGGACATCATGTCCACGGGTGAGGGCTAGGGCTGAGAGCACAGGCCTGGTTGCAGCTTGAGGCTGTGGCAACATCTTTGAGGTCTGACAGATGAATTCCTTCTCAGGAAGAGAGGGGAGTAACACCGCCATAACTCGGAACAACTGTATCAAGTTGTCTTTGCCCAAGATCACCCCTTCAGCCCCGTCTTAGGCATGAGCTGAGCAGGAGGCAGTTCAGGTTTTGCTTTTCTAAACAGTGTCATTGCTTCCCAGGGCATGATGTGGTGAGACAATGCAGAAAAAAATCTGTAACTTACTGCTCACTAGTAGCTGTCTCAGCCCATCTTTCCCTTGTCATGGGCACCCAGAAGTGGAGTTCCCAGAAGTGCTTTTGAGGTTGTTCTGGCTGTTCAGTAGCGTGTAACCTGTTACCTACTTCTCCACTCATGACTCAGATTTGTTGCTAAAGCAGCCATGTTTCAGAGCTATGTTTATTTTTAGAAGGTATTATTGTAGAATGAGTCAACTGCCTTTGCAGTGGCTCATTTTCAGTCCAAAAGTTAGTAGCGTTTTTTCATTTCTGTTGGAAGAGTTATTTTGAATGATGAAGGGCATTACGTTTAGGCAGTTTTAAATAAGTCTAAAGTTTCTACTTTCTGTTAGAGACTTTCAAGTGTTTACTGTGCTAGTTTCCTCTACTTTTATTAATAAAGGACAGGACATCATGTTTTATGTTCAGTAGGTATAGAGAAGGTATGTTTGTGGAGGGGGGAAGAGGAGGACGGAGCTGTAGTTGAACATTGGGACCTACTGGAAGTCTACATTTCCTGCAAATTTTTGAAAATAAACGGCAGCTTTGACCTAGAGAAAATACATCTTCCTCCACTGCTGCTGTAAAAGCTGTGTTCTGAACCACTATTTACAAATCTTTCAGTGTAATGGGAAAAAAAGAGTATCTGTTTCTTGTCTTGTTAGTTCTGTAATGAAGCTTTGACTGTGTTGACAGCATGTAAAAATTCCTCTAAAGCATGATACCTGTTGTTTCTGATGAAACCAGAAGGTGGCTAGGTATGGGTGTGTTTGATTTCCCATGAGCATATGAGCATCTCACAAAAGAATAGCCCTAGTGCTTTTCAGCCTATCCCTGTGGGTGAAATGCTGCTAGTTTGGTACCTCTTGGTCTGTCACCTATTGTAGAAGAACTGAGAAAGGATGGGAACCTGGGGGATCCTATCAGAAATGATGTGAAAGCTGTTCATGTTTTAAAAGAAGAGCCTTGTTTCACTTTGGTTTTAATACTGAGTCAACAGATAACAAATACAGTCTCAATGGCCAACCCCTTTACGGATTTTCACAAATTGACTAATTTTAGATCTCTCTGAGGTTTGTTTTGGTTTGGTGGTTTTGGGTTTTTTTTCTGTCTACAGGTTGGTGAACTTTCCCAGCAGCTGGACATAGAGTCTAAAAAATGCACGCAGCTAGAAGCACAAAATCAGGATTTGCGAGAAGAGTTGTCCACCATGCGTGGGAACCATGAAAAACTGGAGAAGAGCAAATGCCAGCTGAAAGAAGAGGTGGCTAGCCTCAAACATCGTTTGGAGACTAACATGGTGGATCACAGCCAAATAGAACAATATAAAAGAGAGATGGAAGAACGAGCCGGACAAGAAATAAGACAAAAACTGCAAGAAGTCAATCTGTTTTTGCAGGTAAGTGAATTTCTCACTTGTGTCTGTAGTGTCTATTATATACTGTCGTTGTGGTTGTCATTTTTTAGTATTTTAGTTTTGGTGCCTGATTATGCGTGTTAGTGCTATACTTCTGTCTTTCCTAAAGGGCAGTGGGAGAAGGGAATATGGTTGGGCAAGAGTGCTTTCATGTGTGTATAATGTGCCTGCAGGTTCCTGAATCAAAAGCTTGCCCAAGGTAGATTTCCATTTTGCAGTTCTTGGGAGGATATTGCTGTCTGCTGGTCTTGTTCTTGCTGTTCATCCTTGAATGGGTATTGCAACTTACAGTTGTCATGGCCAGACATACAGGTCCTGCTTTGTCATTGTACAGGGGAAAGTGCTCAGAAAAGAAGTCACCAAAGTTGGCGCGGGGGGGAGGTAAGGGATCCTCATAATTTCTTTAAGGAATCCTTTTCTATATGCCCTGTCCTACAGAGACAGTGTTCTTTCATTAGTAGCTTTGATGAATAATAGTGCTAAGAAGGGCATTCGTTCTGAATGAAAAGAATTCTTTAAACATGGTATCTCCAGGGTTCTGCCTTGATTGCTGATGGTAGTGAGGAGGCACAGTTACCTCACTGAGTAAAGGTGGGCCCTTGAAATTGGGTATGTGCAGTTGACTGGTGGGGAGAGCTCTTTTTTTCTTTGCAGTGGTTGAAAGTACATTATCTGCTTCAGACACAGGCAGCCTCCCAGGACAGATTAGAACAAATCAGAGCCAGTCATCATGCTTCACTGAGAAACCAGCTGAAACACAGAATTAGAGATCTTGAATGTGAATTGGACAGGATAAAAAATACCCAACAAGACAGTATTTTTCAAAAAGAATCCACGCAGGCAGAAGTGGAAAGGTACAAAGAGCTGTATCTGGAGGAAGTGAAAATTAGAAGATGCCTAGCAAATAAACTGGAAAGGTAAGTCCATGCTTTTTTGGAGTGGTAATAAGATACTACTTTTTCCTTATGCATTTTCCTTCTAAAATCCTTCCTCTACATCTGGTCAGCATTATGTATGTAAGCATAAGATGGCATCTTTTTGAGGAAAGTACCTTAAGACCCTTCCCCTTCATTAGAACTGTCTTCATTTCTCTATAGTATTCCAGCAGTAACACCACTGATCATGGCATTAATAGCGTATATTAACTTGACTGTGTTTTACCAGCAGCCTTTTTGCCGATTTCTCATTATCTGCTTCTCTTACTCTGTGTATGGCAGAAAAGATAAACTTCATGTCCTTTACCGCTTGAATAAGGATAGGCCCTTCAGAGAACAGAACAACTTGATTCTGTGAAGCAAAAAAAAATCATTTTTGGCTTCCATTTTAGCAGCATGTCTGAGGTTTGAGCTTTCCTTGGGAAAGGGAGGGTAGCCCAGAGTTCTTATGCAGGTAACATACCTTTCAGAAGAAGCTATGTAAACACAGGGCATTCACAGATTGCTTTGAAGTCCTAAGTGTTGGTAACTCTTGCCGCTCCTTCAAGGTAGCGTGACTTCCTAAAAATAGGTTCTCCAAAAAAACTCAGATCAAATTATGTTCTTGTTTTGGATGCTTTTAATCCCTTCCACTTTCAGAAGTCAAGTAATAGTCAAGGACCTGGAGGGTAACTTTGCAAAAGTGTTACTATGAAAGGTAATTGTTTGTATGCTTCTGAATGTTTCAGAGCTAATGAGAAACTAGCAGAAGCCAACGCTAAGCTCCTTCAGGAGCGCCATAGAAGCAAATCTTTAATTGCAAGCAGCATTGTCAGTGGAGGTCTGGCTGCCAGTCCAGTTCTGTATTCAACTGAACTGGGACATCTTGGCAACAGTTTGGCACTGAACAGAAGTCTGAGTCTAGGAGGAAGCTTCCTAAGCCCAGCCGGGAATGCATTATCATCAAGAAACAGGGTTGAAGCCTATGTGGCTAAGGTAAGCGTTTTGAAATACTGTTCTCAACTACTGCTAAAGAGTATCCATAAGCGTGCATTATGCTTTTTAACCTAAAGTTAAAATGCATTTATAGTTCCAAACCATGTGGTCTAATAATGCCAAAATAAATTCTAATCATCAAAACAGTATACAACTATATGTGAAGACTTTGGATCATTGGGGTTGTACCAATTTCCAAGAGTGCTCAAAGACCAAAAAATACGGACATCTAAATAACAAACTGTGTAACTACATTCTTTTACAAGAGAAACTGCAAGAAAGAATACTGTGGTATAGTAAGTTCCCAGCTAAGCTCTTCATTAAAATTTAGTGTATAGTATGTGTGACCTATTTAAAATGGCTAAATTTATGATGAATGCAAAATCCTATTAGACATTTTTGAGGCACCTTTTCCTTCTTCACTGATATTCATTCTAGCAGTTTCTTCACTGGAACTTGTTTTAGTGCACTAACACCAACAAAGGGGTGCTTGAAAAATAGGATGATATGAATGGGATCACGTAACTTCTCACTTTATGCTTCAGTGTGGGACGTATACTGTGCATAGGAGGCATTAGTTTTTGTAGTTCCTGCTATGTGTTAGTACATGAAAAGGTAAAGTTAACTACTGCTCAGGAGATCTTCACAGCTTTCTAATTTTGCAGCAATGCTGCAACCTCTGTAAAGTAGGAGTACTCAGTGCTTCTTAACTGAATTACAGCAACATTCTTCAGGTAGTCCTTTCCATTTTAATTGCAGAAGAATTTCCATTTTAATTCCAGAAGAAATTGCAACTCTTGGCATCTCCAACTTTTGTTGATACCAAGATAGATAACTGGTTTACTAGCTTCCCTTAAGTGTATTACAGAAATTAAATATTTTTAAAGGCTAATGAAATAGCTCATTGTTTTTATCCAGTTGCTAATATATGCAGATATGTATTTCAAGTAGTTACATAGGCTGCTTCAACATTTTGTGAAAAATGGTTCCCAAATCTACTTGTGAAAAACATTTGAGCTGATTCCAAGAAAAGTGTGCATTGGATCTGAGAATGGTGATGCGCTTCTCACTCAGTATCCTGACTTCAACAGCAACCATAAAGTTTCTTTTCAGAGCATATGTGTCTCACATTTTGTGATGGATTGCCATGCTGGGGAATGCTTTTAGGTTTTGGTACTGTTTTTTGAGGCTTCACTTTGAAGGTTTAAAAAAGAGAAACAAAAAAACCTCGTCAGCCTTGAGCAGACTCTCAAGGAAATTCAGCGGTTATGTATGACATTTCCCCAGTCTCCAATTACTGATGTCAGGTGGAGTTTTCAGTTTGTTAGCTTGAGGACTTTCTTATATACCTAAATTTCTCCTTCCTAGTGCAGTTTTGTTAGTAGGACTTACTCCCCTGAAGTTCTCTCTGATCATGTTTACAACCTAAAGAGACTTTTACTTTGTCAACAGACAAGCTGAGGATAATTGGCTCTTACTATACATAGTTTGTCTTCTAGGGATTAGCTTTTAACTCTAATAAAGTATTAAATTCTAAAGTTTTCTTCCCTGAATGAAGGTGAGTAAAACTATTGCTGAATCCTCAGAGAACTTACCCCTTTCTTACCATTTCTGCCAGGTTCTCTTAAGAAAAAGCTGGAATCTCAGCATGCCTGTTTTCCCTCAATCAAAGCAGAAGGCTAGTCTCTGGGACTCAATTACCAGTGTCAATTTATCTTCCCTGTTACTAAATCCAGCCACACATCCTTTTGTGATATTTCTTCCTGTAATCACCAGTTAGGGAACAACTGAGACTAATTGTAATGGCACTGTCTGTAGCCTCAAGTCACTCAATGTTCAATGTATTCAGGAAAGTCTTAAGACCTGATCTTCTCTTTCAGAGTCCTTCAGAAAAAATGAACAGGGTTCTCAGAGGTGCAGTAGTCACTAGAGGGCATGCAACTAAGTGGGTATTTCACTTGGAACTGCTGGCTTAAGTTTCCTCAGCTGGCTGCAGTATGTCATTAACAGTGTTTGAAGCCATACCATATCTCTGAGGAACTGAAAGTACAGGATTCCTGACATGTGCGTCTAAAAAAAGAAGACTGAATTGGAAAATAAGGCTTTAAGTCAGGAAGTAACAAAAGGGAAAAACTGCATGTGTCCCTCTGCATACAATAATGGGTGGTGAAGCTCGATCAGTTTCCAAATGCAAAATTACCAGATGCACAGTCTGTGCTGTCATTTCTGCAGGAGTCCTGTGTCATTCAGTGGACAAATTGGAGCATGAGGAAAGAGTTTAGAGATGACAGTTTTAGTCTATTTTGAAGTACTTTGCCAGTTGTGCTGCTTAGTACTCTGCCTTGCCTGTTCACGGCTTTATTTAAAGACAGAAGAGTTTCTCTGACTCTAAGCCTTTTCCTCACTTCACGGTTTGCTTCAATCATGCCTCATATTTTTTCCAGTAACCTGGTTCCTTTCTACAGAATTTGTCTTGCCTTTAAATTCAAGCTGAGAAGTGCCTTCTTGGCTGGAGATTACAAGTGCTCCTGCCACTGGCTTATAATGACAGGGAGTTAAGGAGCTTAAATTGCAGTGTGCTGCAGGTAGTCCTCTTGCACTTCCTTTTTTAGTCAAAGCTTTCTGCATAGATTTGGTTTCAGTCGCTTCCTCAAGGTAAGAAAGGCTATTTGAAGTAGAGGACATGCTGTTCTTAAGGGGAGGATGTTTATGTAAATTTGGTTCGTGTAAAAGCTTTTAAATAGCTTCGGGGCAAGGAATGTGAAAATACTTCACACACTATTATTCAAAATGCTGGTATTAATTCTTTGTCCATGCAGCTGTTGGAAAAAACATTGGTAAATGATGCTGACTGCAAACAAGAGGAAGAAGTACTCCTCTGGCAAGCGGACACAGTTACTTTTTAGACATAACTAAGAAATTTGGAGTTTAAAGGCTTGAAAGATTTCACAGTTTTCCTAAACCACTACTTAACATGAGAGGCGAATGTCAGTGATTATGGGTATGGCCTTACATTTTGAAGATGGTCATGTAGGAAGCTCAGAAAAAAAGGAGCATTTTATTCTTAAAAAAACCCAAAGTGTTCCATTACAGTATAGCCCCTTTCCCCTTATCAAATATATATGCTACAGAAATTCATAACCTTGAAATGAAAGTGCAAAAGTATCTTGAAAAATATAAAAAAGTTGATAGACACAAGTAATTAACCAGTAAAGTGCCAATCACATGCAAATGTCTGGCGTTTTTTGGTTGGTTTAATTTTTATTAGAGCTCCAGTAATGAGGAATAAATTACAAGTACTTGAAAAATTCTGTGCGTGTAGTTACAAACAGTGGCTGTAGCGCCTAGCAGTTTTTTATGTTCTGGAAGGAGGTTAGCTGAAATCTGTTTCATAGTAGGACTTGTGTCATAAGAAGGATGTGCTTGCGTACTGACTGTTGTTTACAGGAGTAAAGAGATCTTTGACAGGGTCTTTTTTATCATCTGGTCTACTGACTCCCAAACTGCTCATGAATTGGCATGTCACCATCCAGAACTAAATTGAATCAAGCAATTGAAACACAAATACAAGGTACTGCTAGTGGTCTGTGTACCATAATTTGGGAACTGCTGCCTTAGTCCATAGACTAAGGCAAGGAATGTCTGCTGCAAGGATTTTTTGGGACTGGAGTCCTGGTGTTAGGTTTAACAAATGCCAAGCTTAAATCCTAACAGTTGTGTGAAAGGCTGCTGAAAATGAATGTGGGTGTCTTGATTGAGATAGAAAATAATAGTGAACTCTGCTAGCTGTAACCAGTGTGAATTATTTATGAAACCAGTTTTCCTACATAACATGAGAAAGGGAATGTCCGCTTTCTACTCTCTCTCAATTTCTGTTCCTTTTCTGATTTCATTTTCCATCTGCACCCTTGTATTGCAGCAGTCTTTGTGGTGTTAGCTTTTCTACTTGCTTCACTTACATGTAGGCATGTTCTTATTTCTCACTGAAGACCTTTGAACTTAAGGCCGTTTTTCTTTCTTCTTCAGCTCCTTAATCAAAAATCTGTTGTTCTTTCTCTTCTCTGCAGCCAGATACATGACAAGGTTTGTAGCCAGTATTTTTTAATGTTGGGTGGTATTTTATACTGGAAATGTTTTGTTTATTTATGCTGTTAGGTTTTGATTAAAACTTACTGATGCATTCACATTTTCCTAATATTACAAATATTTTTAACTTGTTAGTTTGTCCAAGTGAAAGAATGACTGCTGCAGAGTACTTTCATGTATTTGTAATGTTCTGGCTTCTGTGGTAGTTACCCATCTGTAAGATGACAGTGTATGGGTTTCATCTGTTATAATGGAACTTATTTAAACTGTAGGAGTAGGCTGGCTTACCCTCCTTGCCAATTCTAATATTCAGAAAGTTCTTGGTATTAACAGTGGTTGTGTCTACAATACCAGTACTGTTCTGAAGCTGAGTTCCTAGACTCTTGAGTATCAGCTCATGGAGTCTTACAGAATCCAACTTACTCTGTGCTCAAGAAACCCATGTGGGTAAGTAGTAAGTCAGTACCGCTTTTTGAAAAAGAAGTATTGAGAAGGTGACTGCTGCAAGGGAACCTGGTATGTTACTGCCTGAAGAGGTGTGCAGTGAGATGAGAAGTACCTCAGTGTACAACTTAGTGCAGAAGAGATAGCAATCACTGTTTTGCTTTCCAGTTCTGTGACTGTAGTCCAGCAGAAGCTTTTCTGGAATCTGAAATTGTCATCCTTACTGCTCAGGAGGTTTGGGACAGTCAGCTGTGATGCCTTTTCCAGGGGTAAAGGGGAGGGAGAACAGTGGAGGCAAGTTATAGTACTCAAGGGTGTATATTGCCTGGCTCTTCATTCGCTTTTCAGAAATCAGTGTGTCAGATTTATTTCCACCTATTCCTCTTTCCTCAGGCATGGATGAGAATCATAAAGATATTCATTCCATTAACAATGGGAAAACAAGATCTTTTTCTTCTCTTGATTCATCTGGACATGTGGAGGGTCCTGTGGGCCTTCTGGTCATTGTAAAGGCTCCAGAAACCGGGGAAAGTGGTTTCTTCTAACACCTCAACTACTACTGCTTTGCTTAGGATTGGTCCTGGTTTTGGATCGTCTTTTGGTCGAGGCATTAGTTTTCCTGCTTTTTTTCTGTTACCTATGTCTCACTTCATGTGTTAGGGGGTCCCTTCTCCCCAGGATTTTGCTGCTGCTTGTACCTGCTTGAAAACAATTAGAGGTTTGGGGATTTCAGCGGTCCTTTTCCATTGTTCTTTCAGCTCTGTGCTCCACTCTTTTAGCTGTGAAGGCACAGACTATTCCAACAAAGTACCACTGAGTGGTTCTTCCCCTGGAGGAGCAGGTGAATTTGGTCGCAAGCTATCCCTGTAGTCCTGGAGAGAGGGCCCTTCCATCTACTTTTCTGGTTTATGGACCCACTTCTTCAGCTGCCTATTACTGCTCCTCTTGTGAGGGTTTGCAGAGTGCTTCTGTTACTGAGGCTTTTGCTCTCTATGGCCTGTTGAGTACATTGTAGTGTTTCAGTTCTTTTTGTTGGTATGTTGCTAGGTGAGTCTGCTCATTTCATAAAATAAATGCTTATTCCCTCAGGGGTTCAGTACTAAAATCAGAGAATCCCAGTATGGGTGAGGGTGGAAGGGGCCTCTGAAGATCATCTAGTCCAACCCTACCCCTGCTCAAAGCAGGGTCAGCCATAGCAGTTTGCTCAGGGTTATGTCCAGCCAGGTTTTTATACATCTCCAAGGATGGATGTTCCACAACCTTTTCTGGGCAACTCTTTCCAGTGTTTGACCACACTTACAATTAAAAAAAAAAAAACAAAAACAAACAAAAAACCCTGAAATTCCTTATGTTAAAATGAAATGTCCTCTATTTCAATTTGTGCCCATTCCTCTTGTTCTTTTACTTGGCAACACTGAGCAGACCCTGGCTCCATCTTCTTTACTGCCCCCACCAGGTATTTATACACATAGATAAGGTCCCCCTGAGCTTTTTCTACTCCAGTAAAGAAACAGTCACAGCTTTCTCAGCCTCTCCACATAGCTTCAGCATCTTTGTGGCCATCATAGGCCAGGAAGCTGTATGGCATCTGGCTTTATCTGATTTGAGCCATGCCTTCATTGTAATAACTCCACTGTGCTCTCTTCCTGTATATTTTTTAAATGCCCTGTTATAATCCAGTTGGTGAGTTACGGGTTGCTTTGTGCTACAGTTAATGTTGCTCAGCAATGAGAATGCTACAGCCTGGCTGACCAAGAGTTTCTCTTAATTAAAAATCAAACCCCAAACCAAGATGTCTTTATTTGGGATGATTTTTTTTCATTTTTATCATGTGTTATGTATGTGTTTTAAGAATGTTTTAGAAGTTTAATATTACAAAAATGTAACTTAAAATATTAACTGTATATTTTCCATATAATTCTAGGTACGGCGGGAACTGGATGAAAAAATCACTAAAGAACTTGAACAGGGTATGTGTCATTATGTTAGGAGTGGCTTTAAGGAGGAAGATGACTGTTCCTATGTCTTGAAAATAATGGCTTGAAAGTTGTCAAGTTCCTGTGCTAAGCACAGGGGTTTTTTTCTGCTAGCTTCCAGTTTAGACTTCAATGTGAAAACTTCCTGCTTACCAAAATATTGTACAGAATGTTATGCAGTTGCCTGAAAAAAAAAGCGCAAAGAAAACTAACCTGTTTCCCTGACGCAGATACACGTGGATTAAGCTGAAGTCACCTTTCACTACGGTTAATCCTCAAGTACAAACATCAAACACAAAGGAAGCCCTGAGATAACATTTTTATAGACTTCAGCAATCACTTCTCCTTCCATGTACATCAACCGCACTAAACCATACCATCCATACACATTCTCTGCTGTTAGTTCTTGATTTTTTGCTATGTCTCTTATTCACTGCCTGTGTATGTAGCTTATATGTTGCATTCTTTTTTGGATAAGCAAGAATATAATTGATGACAAAATATATCCTTTCTTCAGGAGAAGATCATTCAGTAGTGTTTAGGCAAACATAAGATTATTTGATTGCTTGTAATACATAGCATAAAACATGCTCTATAATATGAGGCCAGGTGTCCAAAGAGAAATTCCACCTGTTTCATGATAATTGTTCCACCAGAGTCACTGCTATTTCAAAGCAAGCAGCCCCTGAGAGTATTTCCTTCTGTTCCTGTATGCTTTCAATCATATAAAGAGTGTTCAGCTGTTGCTTCATAGCTCTCTCCATGTGTCTGAACGGACACAAAGCCATTGCATTGCATCCATGCGCATTTTGAATGTCATTGCACATCTGCTAGGAGTCACAGAGTGTGTTTGGTTTGGGGATCTTGTCTGAAAAAGGTGGCTGGAGAAAGATCGCAAAAGTGGTTTTGCTTCCATTGAGTATGCATTCTCATGGAGGAAAGAGGGTTTTGCCAGAGCAAGTTACAGAGAAGATGCCAGGCTGGGAGACTTGTCCTGGCCTGACTGCAGTGCAAAGATGTTTGTGTTTTCACAGGCAGATTCTTTTAAAGTTTGTCACAGCGAATGCAGAAGCTGGTTTTTAGGAGTAGCGTTCCGATAAATCACTGGTTTGAACATTGAAGGAAAACAGACACTTGAGGTTGAAGAAGTTTGCAGGGAGCTAAATTTAGTACTGATGTAAGCAGAAGTCATCTGTGGATTCCCTGAAGATGTTCAGTGTGTAGCCTCTGGAATTTCTTTCACTAGCTTTAGAAATACTGTTGGCTGATAAGCAAATGCAGGAAAAAAAGTGTTTCTTCCTTTGTGCCTAGCCCTTTCATTGTTATGTTCCCTTGGAAGTTTTTAAATCTTTCTGGATTGTAGTCTCTCCAGTTACCCATAATGGTTTTACAGTGACTTATTTGGCCCTGTCTACTGTAAAAGTAACACCAGGAATCTTGTCTCTTTTCTCCCTAGCCACTGCTGAACTTGAAACTGGATCTGCTGGAGCTTCTCCCATGGTATCTACTGATGGTTCTTCAAAAAATTTCCATGTTGACCAGGATCCCCTTTGCAGGGCAATACAGGAGTACCGTGATGTTTTAACCAAAAATTACCTGATATGAACAAAATGCTAGGGAAAGGCTCTGGAAATCATTTTGTTTACATAGTGGATCTATAGTTTCCCATTCCACAGTTCAGATGTGAAAACATGTTTATTGCAGCCTGAATATGAATTCTAAGTCTATTAAATGGATGTAAAGCACATTGCACTTACCTATTGGTTTATTGATGCATAGTTGTTCCATTTTGCACTCACAATAACAACCATATCTACTTTTTTTGACTAGCAGATTGACTAATCTTGATTCCTGAGCTTGACAGAACTGTCAAAATGTTTCTTACTAAGGTAGATGCATTATTTTGCTCCACTTATGTTCTGTGTTTTAACAAAGTACCATTCCCTTTGTTCTGTTTAATCCTTTCACTCTATGTGGTTTTAATGTTTCCAGTGTTTATTTTAATGCTTAGGACATATTTGCTGTGCTTTGAGCCTGCTGCTTCAGTCCTGATGCAGTGAGTATTTCTGCTGATAAATTAAAAGTTTTACCAGTGTTCAAGCTGGAGAATAGGGCACTTTACATTGCTGTCACTTTATGCGCCTTAGGTTTAAAAATACTGTGAGTGTATAGTAGTGCCAAGGCAGTCGTTACGTGGTCTTTTTGGTACGTTTGGTTTGTGTCACAGAACCACGGAATGGGTGAGGTTGGAAGGGACCTCTGGAGGTCATCTGGTCCAACCCCCCCTGCTCAAGGAGGACCACCTAGAGCCAGTTGCCCAGGACCGTGTTGGCTTTTGAATATCTCCAAGGATGGAGACTCCACAGCATCCATGGGCAACCTGTGCCAGTGCTCGGTCACCCTCACAGTAAAGAAGTGTTTCCTGATGTTCAGACAGAACCTTCTGTGTTTCAGTTTGTGCGCATTGCCTCTCATGGTATTCATGTTGATTTTTGTATTAAAAATTGCTGCGGCTTTAGACATTTGCATTTCCTACATCAACACCTGTGGTGCACCTGAAACACTTCATATGGGAAAAAAGGAATGTTAAAGTATCAACCCCCCATCTCCTCAGCACTTTCCAAAACTTGTGTGATAGGATAGCCAATCTTTTTGTTGCTGCTAGCAGCTGATGATATGGTGGCTGTAGCCCTGATGTTGGCCAGTGTTGTGGGACATTGGTGTCAATAAAAGAAGCAGTTTTACTTATTTCAGGGAGTTGTCACTGAAGATCTGCAGTTGTCATTTTGTGTCCGCAAAAGTCACTAGCAAACAGAAGGTTATAGAACAAAGTCCCAATTCTGGAAAAGTAAGAATGGTTGTACTGAGATGACTTAAGACTGGAAAAAATTGGTGGTTTACCCACTAATTCAAGGACTTGAGTTAACAGGCAGTGAGGAAAGCAATGAATGCTGCTGTGACACACTGTTCCTTTTTATATTAATACATTTTTGTGAAGCTAATACACTGTATTCCAGATACTCTGTTCCAACTTGATATTTAATAAAATTTGTAATCTAGTACATGTCTTTGTTTTATTGTTCCCCTTCTTGACTTTGCTTTCCAACTCCATCCCTGCCCATAGAACTCTCCAGAGCTCTCCTCTGCTCACTTCAGCTCTGTTCACAGCTGCATCTGCAGCCTGTCCTGGAGGCCAGGTAAATGGCCAGAATGTGTCTGTGTCCTTTTCCTCCAGGGAGGCTTGAAGCACACTTGTGTTAAGATTGTGGGCTGGAGTTGAGGTATGGCTAATAAACAATTCCCAGACTCTTCCTGTACTTCAGAGCAATCCTTCTTGTGGTCTGGGCAGAAGGTAGTGGGTGAGCTTCTGGCAGTCATCAAGCACTGGCAAATCCCAGAGCTTTTGATCCCATGGGGAAATGACCAATATGTAGCCTGCAAAGAAAAGAGGTGTTAGGAAATTTCTTGAGCCCACACCAGAGCGGTCAAAGAGAAGTTCAGCTTTTGGTACTTTCTAGTGTCTCTCCATGGAGAAAGCAGGTACAGAAAGTCTTGGCCTTCACTTTGTGTTGTCATTGTGATAAACTCGGACATGACCTGTTTTCAAGTTTGTCCCTAACCTGCTCTGTGCTGCCGGTTGTCAGTGAGAGGGGAAGGTTCTTGGCTGGTGGAGCAGCAGAACGGAAATTCAGTGTTAGCATCTGGCATAACAGGAGTTGACAGGAGTTACAGTGCGGTGGGGGGTGACGGGGTAAAGAGAAGTTCAGTCCATTCCTTCACTTGCAAGTCCATCTCCAGGGTCACTGTGGGGACACTCCTGATGATCTCGGAGAGGCCATGGCAGTCGGGGGAGGCTCCTGAGGCCTGGAAGACAGGGAATATCTATCCCATTTTCAAGGAGAGTGAGACAGAGGAGCTGGGGAACTACAGGCCAGTCAGCCTGCATGGGAAGATGATGGAGCACATCCTCCTGGAAGGGAGGAGTCAGCATGGGTTTGTCATCAGCTCACATTCAATTAAAATTGTCAGGATCTGAGTGGAAACAGTCTCTGATGAGAAATGGAACAGAAGTCAAATATTTGGTAGTTAGCTATCATTATAACTTAAGTGATGATTGTTATGTGGGTGAAGGGGACAGCTTCCTGTTTTATCTAGAGACTAGTTTAAAATCTTGCATAGTTTATAACAAGTAATTTTTGAGTTTTATGCTCTAACTTCTGATTCCACCATTTTTCAGAAGTCCAGCCAGTGCAGAAAGACAAACTTCAGTCTGGGAGTCACACTATTTTATTTGTGGATGTATGATGCTCTACAACCACATCGTGTATGTCAGTAGTTTTGGGTTTGGTTCTAATTATGCTTTTTCTGAGTATCAACAGCAAGGCACAGATGCCAGCAGAATTGCCCTTAGCTGCAAGGGAATTGCTAGGCTCCCCTACTCCTAATGCTGTGCTTCAACACACAGAAGTAGCCAGAGCAATGTTGAGAGCCTCAGTCCTTCTGGCTGGCCCTTCATCATCTTTGGCCTTTAAGCAGCTGAGCATTATTTATGAAATCATGCAGTTTCCATGCACTCTGCCATGGGCCTCCTGAGCCTTAGTAACTTCATTAAGTGAGAAACTTCTAAGATGACAGAGGTTCTACAGCACCAAGAAAGGCTTAATCAGGGAAGATAATCTGGACATAAAGAAAGAACTATAGATAAGTCGCAAAAGCCAGCAATCCATCATTTTTTCCTGCAATTCTGGTACATACTTTTCTCTGTTTGCTCCTCTCTGCATGCCCAGAACATCTACACATCTTGTCTTCCATGTCTAAAATGAAAGTTGATTTTTCTCACAGTGACTTGGGTCCCTCATGTGACAGATGGCAAAATGCAGGGCAGGATTTTGTTTGTTTCAGGAATAAAGTTGGAAAGTAATATAGCCAATCATTTATAGAGAGGAGATGAAATTCAGCCCATGTTCAAAGTAACTTATTCCTTGCCCCAAAATAGATGGGTAAAAAAAAAAATCCCAAATCTGTCCTTTTCTTGATTGAAGAAGGCTCAGCTCCATTGTGGAAGCCAAGAAACAAACCAGGTTTTAAAGCCCAGCTTCTCTGAAATATTGGAGCATTTCCAGGACACAGCCCTGCAACTCTTGAAAAGTAGAGGACAGCATAAACCAATTCAAGTTTATTAACAGTAAATACAAAGACACATTGATGATCAGGTTGGCCTGAAGAATTGTGTGGAAAAGGGAGCTGGAATGGGACTGTGTGAGTCAGGGATTCAGGATTCCTTGGTAAATAATTTCTGTCAGGGCTACCTAGCTGCTGTGAAGGGACTGTTAGCTTTGTACTGGGTTATTTTCCCTTGATGCTCTAGGAATACATAAGCATGATCCTGTTTCATGAAAAGCCATTGAAGAGGAGTATTTGAGTTGGATAATAACTGTCTATTAATTCTTGCAACCCGCAATGTAGTTGTATGCACAGGATTTTGATAATACAACTGGAGACAAAAAGTGACTTTCCTCTAAGGCTATGTCAATCAGCATTTCATCAGCAAGAAGGTGACTGGCAGTAGTGTCCATGCAGATGCCATGAGTGTTTATAAATGTGAAGGAGGCATTTTTTTTTGTTGTTTACAAAAATGCCTAGAGCTCCATTCTATACAGAGGCACTGCTATAGACGTCTGGGGATGAGCCTATGAAGTGGGAGCTGAATTAATACTCCATTTCTACAGTTAAAACAGAAATGGCAAGAGAAGATAAAAAGTGAAAATTTTCCTTGTCATTTGCGATACACAGCTGTGCTTATAAGACCTGGCTAGTATGTAGTCCAAATTATCCTGAATAAAAGATGGACTGTGCTGCTTGCCTGTGTAACAGTCACAGTCCTTGTTGTGCTTGTAGCAGTGATTAAAGTAATAGCAATAATTAATAACGATTAATAATTCATTGTAGTTAAGAAGTAGTAGAATGGTCAACTATTATAGTAACCTCAGCTAAAGTAGTGCTTAAGCTTAGGGAAAGGGTGGTGCTATCAGTGAAAAGCAATTTGCATATTCAGGGTTGACAGTGTCAAGAAATACAGTTATCAACTTGATTTGCAAGTGCAAACAGTGAACACCGTCTGCTACTAGCAGTATGTAACCAAAGGGCGAGAGGTGGCAGGAGTCAAACTGATGGTACGGTAAAAGCTGAATAACTGGTTTGTCAACCCCTTGTCCTAGGGGCCTTTTCTAGGTATCATGCAATACCTCCCAGCACCTGCAGGCTGTGCTTCTGGCTGTCATTTAGAAGTCGTCTATTGTAATGATGATTTTCATAGTCTTCTCAAACTAGCTGTGCTAGGAAAAGGCATGCAAAGATGTTATAAGCAGATTAAGAAGCAGCCTTTCACACTGCTATTTCTTTTAAGCATTCTGCATTGTTAATCTGTTTCAGCAATTAAAGAAACCAGTGAGCAAACAGCAACATTAGGTTAACAGACACTGGGATGAGGAAAGATTAGGACAGCCACAAAGAGTGGAAATTGACACTGGCCAAAGGTCTTCTTGCCAATTATTTGGGGGTTTATGGGTAAATAGTGGGTACAAGTGACACAGTGGTGAGAAACCTGACCCCTGTGCAGGCTGGAAAGCGTTGAGGCACCGAGGAGTTAAGTATTGGATCTGCTTGAGGATGGTGGTGGTGGGGAGGAAGGGACACTGGAATAAAATCCTACTCCAGCTACACCCAGTCCCACCATAGGAGCCATCAGCCCACCACAGGCCCATCTACACCAGCCCAGGGGAGCAGAGAAGCCCGGGGCTGGGTGGGAACCCATATTAGGGACTCAGAGGAAGGTACTTGCTGTCTGGGCTGCTCCCAGGAGAGCTTCAGCCCCATGGTCCAGGTGTGAAACCATCAAGATGAGACAACAGCTCAGCTACAGGGCAGACTGAGTGCCTGTGCTTGGCTGCTGG